GGCGAGGCCTGGGAGAGACAGACGAGCCGGGGGGTGGGGGTGGGGGCGCCTGTGTGCAGGGGGCGCCGCCAGCCCGGCAGGTGAAGCCGGCAGGAGTTTGGTTTCCAAAAGGAGGAAATTCTTTGGGCCCAAGTGTCGGAAACAGGCACTAGGCCGAGGAGGAAGACAGTGGTTTCCTCCGCCGGGGGCTGGAGGTCTGGGGAAACTTCCTCCTTTCAGGCTCGCCCGCTCCAGGGAGTGTTTCTCAGCTGCTCGTTGCCCCCCGCCCCCCGCCGTGGGGCCTGGGAGACTCCGTGGACACCAGGCCGGCCCGGCTCCCTGGCGCTGAGGCCCCCCGGGGAGGCCCAGGGTGGGCAGGTCCTCTGCCTTCCCGCCACAGGGCAAAGAGCACATCGCCACGCCGAGAGCCTGGCCCGAGCGTCCGCCTCCCAGGGTCAGGGTCAGCCCCGCCGCCCCCACGCACCCGCCCCAGGCCCCTCCTCTGGAGAGGACGCCGAGAGCCCCAAAGCCGGGCACCTACTAGGCAGGACAGCAGGCGCCGGGGTGCCCGGAGGCTGCAAACTGCCGCGGCCCTGGCTCCTAGGACAGAGCCGCAGGCTGGTCAGCACGGCCGCCCGGCTGCAGAGGGGACACGACTGTGCTGAACAGCAAGGACGCGCTTCTGCTTTCTATTTGCAGCATTTCTGCTCGGTGCTTATTTTTCCCTGTCTTCTGCTAATTTGGGGTTTAACTTGCTCTTCACTTTCTAGTGTCTTAAAGTAGAAGCTCAGACTGCTGGGGAGACCCTTCCCTGACAGCTGTGCGCCCCCCCAGCGCTGCCCCAGCTGCTCCTGCAAGTCCCGGCGATACCGAGATTTCGTTTCCCGTCCAGTTTGAGATATTTGTGCAAAATTGAGAGAATCTATTCCTGGAAAGTTGGGCAGAATTGGAGATAAAGCCCTCTGGACGTGGCCTGCTGGACGACGCCTGCTTCCGGCGCCAGCGCTCTCAGCGGTGGCGGCTTTACCCAAACGCTTGCTCTCGTGTGCCCGGCGTGGGGCGTGGGGCGTGCCCGGCCCGCTCGGCCTTCCAGAGCTGCTGGCGTCTGGTGGCTGAGAATATGCTTCCATCATCTTTCTAACCCCTTCGCAGTATTTCCTTATTTTCCTTCATGACTTTCTTACTTGCATCTTCTCTCTTCTCAGTCACTCTTGCCAGAGCTTTGTCTATCTCGTTTGATTTTTTATTAAGACTTTTTAAAGACGGTTTAAATAAAAGGAAAGGTGTCATCGCTCTAGATGAGAGACCTAATATTATAAAACTGTCTCCTCATGTCTCCCGGCTAGATTCATTATAATTCCAATAAAACCCCAGCAGTTTTTTTTTTTTTCATTAAACTTTATTCATTTCTACAGATGAATAAGGAGCCTCGGCTAACCAAGGCCCTCTTGAGAAGGTGAAGAGAGGCCTTTTCTTGATCCAGCAGGCGTGGAAGAGGCTGTCGTGAGGATGGGCGAATAGACAATTAGCTCAAGGCAGGAACAGAGAGCCTAGAAGCACCTGCACGGGTGCAGGGGCTCAGGTGTGTCAAGGCGGTGCTGCTGGGGCAGGTGAGCCCCATAGGAGAAGGGGAAGGGGCCCCTCCTCACACCTCAGACAGGAATCGACTCCCGGTGGGCCTAGGGATTAAAAGTCCACTGTGCGCCTTATGTCGCTTCGTAAATAATCCCGGTCAGCGAGTACCGCCCGCACCTCGCCCTAGTCTTGTTAGGTGAGCCGCAAAAGCGGGCGGAGAAAGACACTGGCAACTTGCTCTTCTGAAACAGGAGCCCCTGTGCGTCGGGAGACGCCCGACAGGCAGCGAGGTCATCACCCACGGCTTCCTGCGCCCTCTGGGCTGCGTCCCGAGGCCCGAGACGCCGTTCACTGGAACAGGAAACCCCCAATCCGAGCCGGGGTACGCCCGTGGCCGCACATCTCTTCAAGTTCCTGTGGTTCTAGGCGTTTGCTGGCGGGTTCCTCAGGCGGCTCACCCCAGGGTGCCAAAAGCCGGGCCCACAGCCCCCAGCCGCTGCCCGTCGGGGCGTCTGGCTCCAGTCCGTCTGTTCTCGGCCCTTCATTTGCTCACAAGTATTTTAGAATCCACTGGGAAACTTCCCCTAAAAGCATTAAAAGGGCCGGGAAGGTGATGAGAACCGCGTTTACCGCACACGGCGAGACGGGCGTCCCAGACCCTGCGCCCCAGCGGGGCTAGGGCTGCTCCCCATTCCCCCGGGGCTCAGGCGGGCCCGGCCCGGCGCTGCCCCTGGGGCTCCACTGCGCCAGTCACCAGCTGCCCGAATGGACATGCCTTGTGAGCACCGCCGTAACCCGGCCATCCACGGGCCACAGGATGGCCTCTGCACGCGAGGTCACCCGCAGGGAGCGCCAGGGTGGCGCCTGCCGGGCACCATCAGCCCTTGGTTTCCTTCCCTTCCCTCCATGCTGGCAGAAGCTTTTGGGGATGGGCCAACGGCAGCCCGCCGTGCGCCCCAGCACAGGAGGAAAGTGTGACATCTCCGGTGACAACCCCGTGACGTCCCTTGTGATGTGACGACCCCTGTGACGGCCGCTGCCCGCCCAGAGCCGGCTTCCTCGGCCCGTGTCTGTTTTCCGTGCTGGAGCGTCCTCGCTCCTTGTCCCTGGAGGCTGTGCTCTGTGATGAGCGGGTCTTGGGCTCAGCGGGCTTTTCTCTGCATCTTTCGTGCTGATTATACGTTTCTTCTCACGTACTCTATTGCTGTGGTGGCGTGTGCCTGGTCCTCAGGGTGAAATCAACCTTGAGCGATGGACGGACGCCCCGTCCTTCCTAAGCCCTGGCTGAGGGCGGCCCCGGGTACGGCCCCATCGGGCTCTGTGGCTGTCGGGGGACGGGCGCCTGTGGCTGTTCTCCCTCCAAATGGCCTCCTCGGGTTCTGCTATCAAAGTTAGGTCGCCCCACCGAAACTATGAGACGATTTGTATGAAGTTGGGATTTTTTCCTTCCCTAAATGTTTAGGATGATCTACTGCTGAGGTCGTGTCGACGTAAAAGATTTGGAGCGAGGAGATCGTTCAGATTCCAAATTTAATTCGTTAATTTTGGGTGATTTATATTCTTTCCTTCACCTTGTGTCTGCTTTTGTATAAGGGGTTTTAAAAGAAATAGGTCTTTTGTACCTCAACTGTCTCTCCCTCTGTGCATGTTCCCCAGGGGTGCAGTGGGGTGTCCGGGCCGCACAGACACCCAGCAGCTCGTCCCTGGCGTGCCTCAGTTGTGCCAGGCGCTGTGCACCACAGGACGGCCATCGTGCTGTCCGTCTCCTGGGAGAAGCCGCTGTCCGCCTTGGCGTGGCGGCCACGTCATCTTCAGCTCGTTGGGCTGCGCTCTTACCTGGGTCGCTCTTGCTGTCCGCCTTCTCGGGACTTAATTTGCGATTTTTTGAACTTCTTGCGGCAGACGCCAGCCTCTCCTCCTCCGAGCCACGCCAGCCATCACCCGTCCTGCGTGCTTTCTCACGGTCCCTCAGCACGTGCTGTGCTGTGAGGCTTGACTTTTTTTTGTGAGTCAGTGAAAAAGATCTTCCAATTCTGATTGGATTTCTTCTTCGACCCCTGAGTTACTTACGTTATTTAATTTCCAACACATTTCGGGCTTGGCTGGCTGTCTCTCTCTCTGGTCCCTAGCTTCGTTTCGCTGTGGTCCGGACATGCACGGAGGGTTTCATTTCTTTCACGTGTGATGGAATTTGCTCTTGCAGCCCTGCGAGAGGTCCCTTTGGGAAAACGTCCAGCGTGGGTTTAGAAAGCATTCCCAGTCGCCGGGAGGCGTAGCGGCAGCCGCTGCGAGTGTCGGGGAGACTCGTGTTTGTCACGTTTGTCCCTCTCTGCGTCCTGGTTGCCTCTCGAGCAGTTGCCAGCAGAGGTCAATTCAAATATGCAACAGCTGTGAATCCAGGCCTTTATCTTTTAGCTCTGCCGGTTTTACTTTATGTGTTTTAAGGTCTTGTTTTTTGGTGCATACAGGTTTAGAATTGAGCCATGAAATTTCCCTCTGTCACTAGCCATGCTTGAAGTCCATGTTGTCTGTTTCAATTTACCTAAACCTGCTTTCTTTGGTCTACAACATTTATCTTTTTCTATCCTTTCATTGCCAACCTTTCAATATTGTTAAATCTGGAGTAGATCTGGGGCCTCCCTGGTGGTGCAGGGGCTCAAGTCTCAGCACTGTCACCAGGCACAGCGGCCTGGATTCATTCCCCGGCCAGGGAGCTACCCACAGGGCACAGCAGACCTCTCCTGTCTCCCCACTGCTCCCCTCAGCAGTGTGTCTCAGTGAACTCGCCTGTTCTGTTCCCCACTGTCTCTGCAACCCTGCACCTCTGGCCTGCACCCCAGTTATTGTACAAAATAAATAAGCAAATATTTTTTAAAAAGAAAAGAAATAGGCCCAGCTTCTCTGGCCTCCGCTCCCTCAGAGCCAGGCCCCTGGGCCGCTCCGCAGGGGGTCAGAGATGTAGCTGGCGTCCCTGGTGTGGAGGTGCAGAGCCCCCATGGCTGCACGAGGGGTGCTTGCTCCCAGCCTTGTCTCCACACACAGCAAGTGTCCCTGCTTGCTGGTGCCCCCGGGGCGGCCTCCTACGTGGCGCCTCTCCTGGTCCCGCAGGCCCAGGCTCCCATGGCTGCCTGCCTGCAGGCCGTGGAAGGCCCCCCTGGCCGGGGCCGTGGGCACCGCCGTTCACACCCTTTCCCTGCTGTGCTGCTGTGGACCCCACAGACCCCGGAGTCTGCTATGAGTCAGGGTGCAGTCATCCTAGAGCTGGGACCTGGACTCCCACCCCACTTTTGAGCAACAAGCAGGGCCAGGCCCTAACGTCACCCGGCCCCTAAGAAGCGCCTCACCCCTGTGGCCTGAGGGCTGCGCCCTGGGGGCGGGGTGGGGCAGCCCACTCCGCTGGGCTGGGCAACCGCAGGTGGTGCTCATACCCTGTCCTCCCCGCGCAGGCTGCGGGAGCACCACCGGGCCGCCATCAAGGTTATCAGGCGCATGCAGTACTTTGTGGCCAAGAAGAAATTCCAGGTGAGTCCTGCGCAGATCCTCCTGCCCTGGCCCTCCCAGAAAGCCTGCGGCCCTCAGCGAGGCTGCGGGTCTCCGTCCCAGCCGCCCAGACAGCAGATGCCACACTGCCCCGGGAAGGCCTCGCTGCCCTCGACAGCAGCCCCCGCGGGGCTCGGCCCTCCGCCTGCCCCGGGACCCAGCTGGGAGCCGGGACCCCCGCCTCTCCTGCCCTGACTGGAAGGCAGCCCGGGGGGTCATGTGCCCTTCTGCTCGCCATCAGCACCTCACGGGCCGGGTGCCCTGCCCCTCCAGACGGGTGGGGGGGTCCATCTGCGAGGCCCACGGCTGCGGCCCTGTGAGCCCGCCCACCCCCAGCTCCAGGCCGTGAGGGCTTTCCCGGGCGGACACGGGCCTCCTGGGGCAGCTGCTGGGGGCAGAACCGCAGGCTCCAGATAGCCCCACCCTGGGCGTCCTGGGCGACTCCCCGCTCGGGACCACAGTTGCCTGAGGACGGGCATTAGGGACTCAGCTTCTGGGGTGATGCCCCCACTCTAGCGCAGGCATGAAAGCCACCTGCTGGCTTGGGGAGCCCTGTACCCCATCCAGGCTGCGGGGCCCCTTTTCTGCCTCAGGGCACAGGCCAGAGCCCTTCCGGGACTTGGGGGGAAGACTGGCCAGGCCGCCCCGGGTCGTGCGTGAGCCCACGATGGCGCGAGGCGCGCATGTCCATGTCCCCATGGCGGGCTCCGGGGTGACGCGTCCTCCCACCGCAGCAAGCGCGGAAGCCCTACGACGTGCGGGACGTCATCGAGCAGTACTCCCAGGGCCACCTCAGCCTGATGGTGCGCATCAAGGAGCTGCAGAGGAGGTGGGCAGGCGCGGGGCACGGGGGGCAGGAGGGCGGGGGGCGGGCCGGGCGTGCCAATGGGCGGGTAGAGGACGGGAGAGAAGCAGCACCAGCCCCAGAGCCTTGGGACCCCCTGAAGCCCACCCCCCGCCCACTAGCCAGGATCCCCCTGGCCCCAGAAGACAGCCACTGGGGCCCACCCATGGGTGCCCCCACCTTTGTAGCAGAGCCCTGACCTCTGGGAGCCTGGAGGGCGGCATGCCTCAGGACAGTGGTGGGCCAGCCTGGACCCCCGCTCATGTGTCCCGGGCTGCCCCTTTGGGGCTGTGCCCATCTGACCCCTGAGGCTGGTGCTGTTCCCGGCTGACCCACATGCAGGGGTCCCACGGGCCGGGTGACCTGGCCTCACCAGAACAGGTCTGCCTCTCCCCCCGTGGGCGCTGGAGATGCGGCCATGGGACACTGGGTGACTGCAGGCCCCGCCCCCACACCCTGCTGCCACCCTGGCCCATCACCCAGGCCAGCGTCTCGGGAGCTACTGAGCATGGCCCCTGGAGAACACAGGCCCCGGGGCCTCAGTGCAGGACCAGGGGGTGGGGGGGAGCCCCCAGAGGGGTGCCAGCCAGTTGGCCCACCGCGTCGCCAGGGCACGCGAGGCGCGGGCTGCGTGTGAGCGGTCTGGTCCCTCCCTCTCTCCCAGGCTGGACCAGTCCATCGGGAAGCCGTCCCTCTTCATCGCCGTGTCAGGTGGGTCTGCAGTCGGCACCCCGGGCTGGCCGGCCCTGCTCCGGCACCCCCTTGTTCCTCAGAAGGGCCTCACTTGCAACAGGACCCAGGAGGAGCAGGGACCTGGGACCCCACCGGGTGGAGCGGAAGTCCCAGTGTGTGCCGTGACCCCTGAGTGCGTTTAGCTAGCAAACTCCCAGGCCCCCGAGCCCTGGGTGTCACCCATCCTGGGGAGGAGGGGAACCGAGGAGTAGGGCTGTAGAGGAGTAGGTGAGTGGCCAGCCCGGAACACAGGCTGCCCGGCTCTGGGGGCACCCTCCCTCGCTCCTCCGGCCCAGACTGTGGGGGACCCTGGGCGGCCAGGCCAGCCAGCGCCTCGGGGTGCGAAGTGCCTGAGTCAGGCCAGATGCCAGGCCAGCGCTGCCCAGGGCAGGATGTCGGGGTCCCACCTGTCCTGTCCCAGAGCCTGGGTCTGGTGCAGGGATAGCCGGGCCGGCCGTGTTGGCAGCACCCGGTCCCCCTGCCCCCGGCCCCGGAGCTCTAAAGCCGTCCTCGAAGTTCAGGCCTTTGGCCGCTCAGCTCCTCGGCCCTCGACCCCTCTCCCCGACCCAGCCAGGGTCAGCTGCCCGCCCCTCCCCACTGCCAGCACGCCGGCCTGACTCTGATGCTCTGACCCCCAGAAAAGAGCAAGGACCGCGGCAGCAACTCCATCGGCGCCCGCCTGAACCGGGTGGAAGACAAGGTAGGGCCGGCGCGTGCTCCCCGTGGGGTCCTGTTCCCGGCCAGGGCTCCGCAGTGGCGCTCTCGCGGCGTGCGGGGGGTGAGGGCATCTGCTTCCCTCCCTCGCTCGCGCCTGGGCTGCACACCCGGGTATCCCCAAGACAGGGCTCACGTCCACCACCCTGGCCGCCCAGCCTGGCCACCTCTGACTCGGCCCACCCGGTGCTGCAGCCCCTGAGCCCGGTGCGCTGGGTCACCGGTGCTGCTCACGGTGGCTCGGCTCTGCCAGCCAGGGGAGGGGCGCTGGGCCCAGGGCCCTCCACATGGGGTCCCGCCCCGGGGGCTGGTGGTGGAGGCCCGGCCGCCTGAGGGGTGAGGCCGGGTCCTCTGGCGGGCCTGGGCCGTGCGGCAGGCCCAGGGCAGGACGACCCCTCCCAGCCTCCCAGAGTGGAGCCAGACCACCCGGCCGAGCGGCCCCAGGCGGCGGGCGGGCCTGCCTTTGAAGTCGGGTGGCTTGCAGCAGGCTGTTATCTTGCGAGCAGCGTCCACTACATGGGCTTTATCTGGAGGGGCTAAGAGGCTAAAAATAGAGGCATTTCGGTGGGCAGGGAGTGCGACTCGGTTTCCCGGCAACGCCTGGCTCGGCCCCTTCCACCCCTGCAGCTGGGCAGGCGGCAGGGGCAGCGACGTGCGTCCTTCTCTCGACTCTCCCCCCGCGTGGCCGCAGGGCACAGACCCGCCAGTGGGCTCAGGCGGCCAGCGGGGAGCCGCCATCCAGGTACCTACTGGGCCCTTGCCTGGGCCTGGCCGTGGGCCACACGACGCCCATGCCTTGGGGTGCCGGGGCTGTCAGCTCAGGCCTGGGCCGGCTGGAGCCGCATCTTCTCCAGCCTGAGCCCTGGTGGCCGATGCCCACCCAGAGACAGAGACCCCAGTGCCTCTCACTCTGCCGTCAGGACCAGAGGCTAAAGACTGGCATGCCTGTGAGGGGCAGCACCCGGCGGCAGGCCCCTGTGGGTGGCCACCCAGCATGCGAGCGCCCCCCTCCCGGGCCGCATTTGCCGAGCGGCTCTCACCACTGGCAGGAATCGGGGCTGGGCCCAGGGCATGCTCCTGCCCCTGCCGCCGGGAGAGCCGTGCCCCACAGGCCCATGTCCAGGTGTGCTGGCCCCTCCTCGGGGGGCCCTCCTCGGGCCCGGCCCTTCTGTCCTGCTGTTTTGGGCCGTCCCCTCCACTGCCTGCTGCCAGTGGGACTGCAGTCCTCAGGGCCCCGGCCCAGAGCCTCGGTCCTTTGGGGCGACCATGAGGCGCAGGCAAGGTCCCTGCAGCAGTGCCCCCTCTCCCGCTATGCGGCTGGACCCCAGAAGCCTGCTGGGACCTAGAACGAGGACCCGTGCGGTGGGCTGCGGTGGGGCTGGCGCTGGCCTTGGGGGCGCAGAGTTACATGCCACGTTCCTTCAGATCTGAGGAGCACAGGGAGTGTTTCCAGAGCCCCTGGCCCCCAGGGGCAAGGCTGGGGAGCAAAGCCAGGGTTGAACCCCACAAGTGCCCGAGTCCCCGCTGCCAGGCCCTGCCCAGCCACATCTGGGTTTCGGGGGTTCCGGGTCCTAGGTGTGGGGCACTAGGCAGGCACCAGGCCGTACTGTGCTCACCCCCTGCCAGGGCCTCCCGGGGAGCAGAGCCCTCGACCCCTGACCTCAGCCCCAGCTGCCTGTCCAGGCGTCGTGGAGCCGAGCTGGCCAGAGAGCGACCCTCCCCCGCCACTGCCAGTGCCCCCCTGGGAAACAGAGCCTGGGAAAGGGCTTCTTGGGGCCCAGAGGGCACCGTGGCACATCCTGGGCCCCGCTCGGTCACAGTTATCACCACGGCCATCAGGACCATAAACAGCCAGCACCGCCCTGCTGGGCAGGACTGAGCCTGGGACAGGAAGTCCGGCAGCTGCCTGTGCTTAGGGGCCCCACAGGCCCCCGCCCAGCCAGAGCCCCTGATCTTCCCAGCTCCTCCAGGATGGCCTCACCCCCCCCAACCCCCGCCTGCCGTTTGCTGGGCCAGCCAGGCCCTACACTGCCAGATGCCGCCTGGCCGGCCCACCCAGCGCGGCCGGGGAGGACAGTGGGCCACGGCCCAGCCGCCGGGGGTGCGTCCTCGGAGGGTGAGGGCCTGGGCGGCGCCGCAGGGTGCTCTGGGGAGGGCAGCGGAGCTAGTGTGGCATGCCTCGGTTCCACCATAAGAAGACCCTCCTTCCGTGTCAGGCCTGGGCAGCCCCACTGGCCCGAGTCTGGGGCCTCCGCACAGCCCTACCTGGCAGGGGGTGCCTGTGTGTCCCCTCAGAGCCCCCCCCCCCGGCTGCCCCTCTGCCCAGGGCTCCTCGCACCTGCTCCCCAGCCTGCCTCACTGCAGGGGTGTGGGGAGAAGCTTCCCACGACAGCCGGGCCCCCACAGGCTCCCCTCCAGATGTGGAGACTCAAGACCCGCCCCAGCCTGGCTCTAGCTGGGAAGGGAGTGACATCAGCCACTCCCTGCTTTGCCTCAGAAGCTCCTGGTCCTGGGGTGGGGCTCGCAGGTGGGGACTGGACAGGGAGGCTGAGGGCTGCCGGAGGTCGCACAGCTGGTTCGGTGGAGAGGGCGCTCAGGAGGCCCGGAAGGTGGGGGGAGAGGAGACAGCCCTCCAGCCCTCAGCCTGTACATGAGGCGGGTGGGGGCCAGGGGGCTGCCTGCCCAGCCGCGGCCGGGTCCCTGCTCCCGTGCCTGCTGGAGGACAACCCGCCTCGCTCCGTGCTCTCAGCTGGTGCCAGGACCAGCGCAGTGTGTCGGTGTGGCTCAGGCTGTGCTCCTGCTGCTGCTGCCGCCGCGGTGGGCACAGCGGGCGGCGGGTCTCTCTGCTGTTTTGGCCGGAAACGCTCATGGCTCAGAACTGGACACAGGAAGGTCCTGGGTTTCCAGACCCCACATCAGCAGGCGTGGGTGGGAAAGTCAACTCCTCCCACCTGACACTCCTTCCAGACCTAGCCAGGCACCCCTTCCTCCTAGACTAGAGGCCCCCAGCCCAGGATGCCCCCCGCCAACCTCCCCAGCTCCCCCTGCCTAGCATACACGGGCCCTTCCCATGGGGCTTGTCTGCCCCAGCTCCTGCTCTGTCTTCGTCCCAGAGGGTTCCTCCACTGGGACCCCAAGGCACCCCCACCCCGACAGTATCCCCACCCACCCCCCAGAGCGACCTCGACGCCACCCACCCTCTGCCGTCCAGCCCTCTCCCTCCCTGCCGGGCCCAGGCCTTTTTCATCTCCTGCTTCGGTTATTTTTCCAGCCGCCTCTGTGGGCCCCACCTGTCCCCCCTGCTCACCAGTCCTTCACGTCGTATATTATTTATTTCACTGCCGAAATCTGCTGGCTAATATTTTGTTCTAAATCGGCAACTTGAGTGGTTGTGGGACTATTTGAATTTTCTATTTCTTCTTGGGTCAGTTTTGGTAAGTTGTACCCTCTAGGAATTTGGACTTTTCAACTTCGTTTTCCAATTCGCTGGCATTTGTGATCATTTTGCTGTCTGTGTCATCAGTAGTTAGCTTTTTATTACCAACATTATCTGTGTCTCCACTTTTTACCTTCTCCCCTCTATTTCCTTAGCCCAGGTGTGTGGTTTCTGTAGCTTTTTAGGTTGGATCATTCATTTTTAGACTTTCCAAATTTCTAAAATGTGCACTTAAGGCTATAAATTTTTCATCTAAATACCAGTCCAACCTAAGTTTTGAGGGATCCCTTTCACTGACGTGTTCACACGCTTCTTTTTCTAATCTCCATGTGAGCTCGCGCTCGCCCTCGGAGCCTTTCAGCAGTGGGATTTCAGTCATCATTATAATTGCGAGAACTTTCTAATGTTATTACCATGTTGCCTGAGAACAATCCTTTGGAACCCCTTGAGCTATATCCTCTAGCACAGCATGTGATCCAATTCTGCAAATGTACCTGCCGTATGGAAAACCACGTGAGTCAATCCCCCGGTTGCAAAGGCTCTGTGGCCTCAGAGTCAGCCAACAGCGCGTGGAAAATGCTTGTGGTGACCTTAACCCTGCAACAGTTGTGTCTGTGCTGAGCACAGCAGACTTCCTCCTTGGCATAGTCCCTAAACAGGTGGTGTACAGCTAACAAAGCATGTACGTGTGTTAGGTGTGAAGTAATTGAGAGGTGATTTAAGGTAGCAGGAGGATGGGTATAGGTTGCTGTGAATACTGTGCCGGTTTACATATGGACTCGAACATCTGTGGAGCTTGCTGCCCACTGGGGGGGTCCTGGGTCAGAGGGTGACTGTTCTCTGCGGCGTTAGCTTTATTTTTACCTACCTGTTTTGTGTCTTGGACTCCATAAACCCCCACAGGTCTAGACATGCCCTTCGGGCGTGTTGTACACTAAGTGGTCTTTATGCGTGTCCTCCTCACACCACTCGGTCCTGACGCCCTCTCTGCAGAGTGCCTGTGGTGTGACCAGGCCACATGCTCTTGGTCCACTTGCCAGCCAACGGGTCTTTGGATTGTCCCCGATTCTGGGCTACTGTAGAAAGTGCTGTTGTGAGCTTTTATGTGCGAGTCTTTGTAGATAAGATAGTTCTTCATCTCTCATGGTTGGGCCCCTAAGTGGAGTTGATGGGTCTTAGGATAACTTTCTGCATATCTTCCCAAAAGCTCCCCAACTGTTTCCAAAGGTCAGGCGCCGTGTTGCTTTCCTGCCAGTGCTGTGTGGAGGTCCCCATCTCCACATCTGTGCAAATGCAAGGGCCGGTGGGTCCTTGCAGGGCCAGGTGGTGGAGCATGTGCAGCGGCATCTCGGGGGCTTGGCTTGCATCCCCAGCCACTGGCAATGTTGACTGCCTCCCCGTGCTCGTTGGCCGCGCATGGTCCTCTGGCAAAATGTTTATTCGCCCACTTTGTGTGACTGCTGAGGAAGCGATGTCTGCACGTTCTGGATCCATGCCCTGTGTTTGCTGGATGCCCTGCAGCCGTGTCCTCCCGTTCTGTGGCTCTTTCC